ACAATCCTGTCACATGCCCAGAAAGGGAGCCACTTGTCTCTGAGGCTCAGTACTAACACGTGACTACCCCAGAAGTGGGGACTAGGAAACCCACTTGAGAGATGGGCCCTCGGGGACGTTAGGAGGCACCGGCTAGTGCAGGAGGACTGCCTCCCTGAGGCAGGATAGGGGTTTATGACTTTCCTTTTGCGGCTGTGACAAATTACCACAAACTTCGCAGCTTTGTAACAGATTTATCTTAGTTCTTGTGGATCAGAAGCCCAGGCGGCTTGGCTGGTTTCTCTGCACTCATTTCACAAGGCCCAAGTCAGGCTGCTGCCTGGCTATCCAGAGGCTGTAGAAGAACCCACTTCCATGTACTTTCAAGTTTTTGGCAGAACTATTTCTTGCAGTTGTAGGACAGAGGTCCTGGGAGCACCTTCAGCCCTAGAGGCTTCCTTCCCTTGCACGTGGTCGCTGCAGCTGAGGCGGGTGGGGTCCCATCCTCACACTGCCATCTAGACGTCCTTTGGCCACACCTCTTCCTCTCTCTCCAGGCCCTTCAAGGGCTCATGTGATTACATTGGGCCCACCTGGGGAGTTTTCCCATCGTGCGGTCAACTGACAGGCACTTAATTCCACCTGCAAAGTGCCTTCACAGCAGTGCCTGCGTTGATAGCTGAATGAGCAGGCTGAGTCTTAGGGGGCAGCTCTAGAATTCTGTCTGCCACAAGGGGAGGGTGGGTGGACTGCCCAGATGTCTACAGGTGGGCGCACAGGAGTTGGAATTTCAAACTGTCCGTGTCTATGGTCTTTGAAATAGGAGTCAAAGATCATCTAAGTCTGGCCAACTGCAGATTTTTAGAACTTATATTAAAAATGTTTACTGTATAAAGTTGAAAAGTTTACTTCAAGAAATGAAGGTGTATTCAAATTATGAAGTGTCTCTTGGATTTGACAATGCCTAGGATTATTACGAGGATTAAACATGTTAATACAGGAGCTTCTCAGTGGTGTCAGGATCCTTTTATACTCCTACAACTATTGAGGATGCCCAGAGCTTTTGTCTTACGTGGGTTCTATCCATTGACATTTAATGTATTAGAAATTAAAACTAAGAAGTTAAACTACATTAAAAATAATGAACACATCAAATGTTAATGTAAATGATGTTTTAATATTTTCCAAAACAAAAATAGTTATTATAGTGGCATATTTTTCACTTTTACAAAAATCTCCTTCATATCTGGCTGAACAGTAGACAGCTGGATTCTTGTATCTGCTTCTAACAACGCATGCAGTTCAATACAAGGTGTGACTTCAGTTGAAGCATATGAAAAAAATCTGCCCACATGATACAGTTGGAAAAGGGAGCATTTTTCAGTTGCCTTTCACAAAACTAGATATCCCTCTTTACATCCAAAACCAACAAATGGGTCGTTTCAATATGCTTTTCATTGTTATACTGGCCTGTCTTGCACTCAGCAAAGGTGTTTTACCTATGTGCAATACGTTGTAGTATCATACAGTACACTTAGAAAATAACTCATTTACTGAGCTATGCAGATCTCAAATGATGACATATTTCATACAATGTCAAAAAGTCATTCTTTAAATCATCATCAATCTTACCAGAAAAGCCTTGCAGAGCTTCTGAGTTCGTTACGGTGGATGCAAGTTTTCAAAAAACTAATTTTAGCTTAGAAATTCAAATTTTACCATTGGCTACAATACTAATCAGTTCTTGCTGTGGATTGGATGTGTTACTTTCTCGGCCTTGTGCAGGCTGGTACGCTGGCCCCACCAGATGCTGGGACTGCCCACACTTAATCTTGGATTCCTGGCCTCCAGAACTGTGAGAGAGAAATTGTTGTTTAAGCCAATCTGAGTGTTTTTGTTACAGGAGTTGTAACTAAGATAGTTGATCCACTGGTGACAGTTCACTGTTCATTTTTGAGGAAATGCCTCTCATGTCATCATCAGTCATTCTTAAAGGAAAATGTTTTGTGTTAAGAGCTAGTTCAGCTGAGACCACCACCATACTTGTTACATGGCAGCGCTGAGAACACTTAGTCTCTAATACTAGAAAGCCGTGTACCCAAGGGCCTACACTGAGCAACTCAGTAACTTGCATTGCTTCAGCAAGGCCACCCCTCAGGGCAAATGGCTCTTTTCAGCATGTGGTGCTGAAGAGCACGACTACTGGAATAATTTGGTGTCACTGCCCTGATTCACAAAGATGGGTTTCACCTACTGCTGCTTTTGCATCATTAGTGCAACTGTCCACACAGCAAAAAAGGCAAGTAAGCTTAGTAGGAAAACAGGGACCTCACAGCCCCTTGAATGTCTAGGACCCCAAATCCACAGACCACACTTGGAAAACCACTGTATCTTTAGAAAACAAAAAGTACTTAGGACCCAACGCTGTTTAAAACACCTTTACTTCTGGTGTCATTCTCATTCCCTGACCTTCAACACGTCCTTTAAGTAGCCACTGGTCTCTGACACCTTCTCTTCTCTGGTGCTTGAGACAACTCATCTTGCAAGGTTGCCTAAAAGCAGCACTTAAATGGAGGAACTCTTCTCAATGCTTACAAATACTGATTATTGATTCTTCATTACTAACCTACCCCAGCCACCTCTGACCCCAAACTCCTGACCCTTTAGTGGAGATGTTCCACCAAGAACAGAGAAGAAAAAGGATCCAAGAAACTCCATCACATGGAACAGCCCTGCCTCTCAGCCCTTCAAGCAGCATTGGTACCTTTTTGAGTGGCTGCTTCTAATCGAAGACCAGGCCATTTAACAAACACCAAGTAAACCTACCAATGTAGGAATTGGAAGGCAACAGGAAAATGTTGGGTCCTGCATGGGAATATGGCCTTAAGGTCAAGTGCCTTTAGCTGCTCTTGCTACGCATGGGATGAGATGGGAGTCAGCTCAAGTGCCGTGGACACCCAACTCAGCAAGTGCTCTACAGCTGAAAAATAACAGTACCACACTACCGTGAAGAGGTACTTTTATTTTATTTCATTTTTAAATATGGAACGCTTCACGAATCTGTGTGTCATCCTTGTACATCGTTGTACAAATGCCGTGCTAATCTTCTCTATATCATTCCAATTTTAGTCTATGTGCTGCTGAAGCAAGCACAAAGAGGTACTTTTAATGAAACAAAATCAAAGTTGTGAAACACCTCTACAGGTTTTTTTTCTACTTGTGACCCATGTATCTTGCCAATGGGTCTCAGCCCCAGGTACACTCACTATGGATTCAATGTGACCAAAGAAACGACAGTAGAATGTTCTTGGGGTGAAAGGATTATACCCCTTTATTTCCATGGTAACAGGTTAATCACTGAAATCCTGTCCACTCAGAGCAAGTCTGCAGGCAGCAGGCTGGTCTCTGCCTCTGGGCCTCTGTCCTTGGTGCTGCCACCTGTCCAGCCTCTGGTCTGCTCTCCTCTCCTGCAGCCTTGCAGCCATGCCACTGTGTTGCGCAGGGCACTGGGTGGAGCTCTTTTAGAGTCAATAACAACACACTGCCCACGTGCGTGGTGAGCCAGCCAACCAGGGCCAGGTGAGAATCCTCACCACAGGAACCTTCATTTTATCAATACTGTTACTTCTCTCAACCACAAAAAACACCAGCAACATCTGTGAGGGTCATTTTTGGAAGGCAGGAGTGGTTATCGGCTCTTCTACAACTTCGAGCACTTTCAGTTAGACTGGTCCAAAGCAAGCTGCTGTATGCTCTTTACAAGTTAGCATCAATCCTTGGAAATCAACTCATCCAAACTACAATGTTGGAGGTATGAGTGGGTCTATAGCTGACTTGATTCTATGACACTACACCCAAAATATGTTATTACAGCACACTTCACAATTCACTTTATGATGGAAAAAAACGAGGTTGTATTTTCAGTAAGTTTATTATTCAATAAAAATACTTCAGTACTTTTTTAATATTCAACTGTCTGGTCCCCAAAACATACTAAAGATAGGAAAGGTATTAGCAACTACACCTAAATCCACATATTTACTTGGCCAAACTACTAATTTATTAATGTAGAGAGAAAATACAATGACCTAACAGTTAAGACTGGTCAGTGTCCTGGTTCACAGAAGGCAACCCTGAAACCTATTACTAAAGTCTATTTAGACAAGAACCAGCCTTCCAGGGAATATGACTAGACCTATTGGCACACTCCCTGATGGCACATAAATGAACTTTCTCTACAGAACCAACAATACACCAGCACACAGCACAGACTTGGGATAGATTGCATAGGTTTCACCCTACTTATTGGTTAGGAGATGCTATGAATAGTAAGCAAGTGATCTCATTCACAGGTGAGAATTGGGACAATCCAGGTGAAGTCTCAAAACAAGACCTGGCCTGAAGTTAGGGCTGTCACTATTCGCCAGCATTATTTTAGTTAAGTAGGATTAAGTCCAAATGCCTTTTCTTACACATGGTGAAGGTTAAGACATTTCCTCCCACTTAATCCATTTCTCTATCTCTACACTTTACCTCTCCTTGTCCTGTCCTCTGACATTAACCCTTTGATGCTGGTCCTATTAGCACTAACCATATCCCAGGCTGTGTATTGTGTAACCCCACAGCGCTGAAGACATCCCTATGAGTCTTTTACAATCAAAGGACCCACCAACTTGGACAGATGCAGCATTTAATAAGGTTGACACAATATTCCTCTTAATGTTAAAATAACCTTGAGAACAATTGTTTTGGCTGTTAAATTAGTTCCTATAGCTTATTAAAAAACACCTTCTATTAAGGCAGCATTTTATTGTTACAATGTTCAACTTGAAGAACAGAAGATAAAAGTTGTTTAAAGAGAACCCTTTAATATAATGAATATAAAAGCTTGTGAGACAGTATCCCTATAATTACATGTTTTTGAACAAGTGAAACCATGGTTACCCAACATCTACCCAGCTCTTTTTATTCCAGCATCTACAGTGTCTGTAAAAAGACGCAGTAATAAATAACTAGAAGCATCACAAGCCACCTATTTATTTAATTACAGCCATGGACATTCCTCCAGTTTATTCTATTTTTTTTTATTCTTCAGATTCTCCAGGCTTACGGATGTCATCAATCTTCAATATCATTCTAACCATTTGTGTTGCAAGAGATATCTGTTGCTTTTTACCAATCAAGGTTTCTATGACATGTTGTTGCTTCATATCTGAAAAATACAAATTAATTGATTATCCTAAAACAGTTTATATATTTAATACTATTAATTTGTTTCAATTTATGGAATCACAGTAAAACTTGATATAAATATGCAAGCCACTTAGTCCCAGTTTCATTTTCAGACTATGATTTCATTACTTCCAAGGACATTCTGGAATTTGAACCTGGTTACTAGAGAGAGGGGTGTGTGGGGGCACCTTTCTTCATCAATAAGCTAAAATTCAAGATGGACAGATTAGCTAAAAGGTGAAGACTTTCAGTGACAACTCATCCCACAAGTACCCAATATCGTAATTTTATTAAACCCGAAAGAAGTTAAATTTGAGTGTACCTGAAATGTAACAATTCCAAGACCAAAAAATGGTGAACTTTAGTACAATCATGTATTCAAGTTAAAAAACTTAAATATTTAACAAAGAGTTGCTACTGTTAATAAATTCCTCCGGCTGTGACCACAGAAAGGAGAATGACCCTCTACTGCTGAGAACACAAACTGTCCACCTCTGTGTCAGCACCGACTGTACTGCAGACATGGCCAGACAGTACGGAAATCACTGGGACCATCGTCTCAAGTTTTTCAGCAGAGGAAACCACACAAATGGCTAGACAGGACATCACATTTACAAAACACTCCTAAGTTATGGGACACAACCAAGAACAAGCTGTCAACTCTCAGAGTTGTTTTATATGACACCCATAACCTACTTTGACAGACTTTTGTGTAAAAAGATGGGAATTACTTTCTAAAACCAGAGATTAAAGTGGTAGGTAGTCATCTTTGGTACAAATACCACACTGCAGTTGTTGAGATTAGTTTTCTGTTGTTAGGACTTGCAATCAAAAACCCCAAGGTGATCAAATCAAACATTCTAAAATTAAGGGCCTGAACACCTAAAGTATGTTGCATATTTATAAAGCTATGGTAACTTCATAGAGTATGTTACAAACTGTGTAGCCACACAGAAGGAAATCACTCAATCTAACCAAGCCACAGCCCCCGAGAGTTGCACTGCAGCAGCTCCTTACCATTTGTACCCTTGTGCAGACAGTCAATTCCAAGAGCAGGGTTCATCTCCTTCACCTGTCTGGCTCGAACTTCAGTCATAGTCTGGATGGGATTCATGCCACTATTTTCAGAAAGGGCCATGGGGATGACCTCCAGTGCATCAGCAAAAGCTCGCATGGCATACTGCTCCAAGGTTGGGCACTGGAAGGGGACAGGATTATGGTAAGCATGCTTGGCAAGAAAACCCTCCAAACACCAGGAGCAATTTGGAAACATAGTCATATTACACACTTGAATGCTAAGTCGTGAATTCTAAGAATAGGCTGGCTTCTAATCCACTAGAATAAAATGTTACTACAAGGTAAAAATGTTACTACTTTATTTTTGGTTATGGTATTTAATTGACTTAGGATTTCAAATAAAAGACTATATGGAATTTTATTATTGTCAAGGCTGGAATGGCTGAAAAAGGCTGAGAAATGGTAGTGCATGGTCACCTGTATTTGCATGGACATCAAATTAGCACAACACCTGTTACAGCTCCCGATGCTCTGGTTCCCTTGAGTCTGCACCAGTTTTGCTTGGTGCCCCGCTGGCTCACAAAGTGCAGAGTTCAGGCCACCCTGTCCCAGTGACTGAGGCCTGCACATACGTTACCTTGTCTGCCTCTTGGCTAACCGCCAAAGCACACGCTATTTCAGCAGCACCGCCACCGTACACCACACGATTGTCACGGATGAGGTTCCGGATGACACACAAAGCGTCATGAAGGGATCGTTTTGCTTCCTCAATGATCTAGGGAAAAATGTTGGCTGAATCAGTATTATCAGGATCTATTCATTTTAAGCCAAATACCTAGCACGTCTGGTTTAACTGAAGTGCATCCTGGGTACTGGAAACATCCCTAACCACCCCCAATAAAATCATCTTGCTTAAAACAAATGGAGAACATGCCAGAATATTTGTTACCAGGTTTCTATTTTATCCTACCTTTCCTCTTTGTAATGTAGCTAAAAAAAAACCAAGCAGCAGTAGCCAGTGACTCATTCCAGGACAAGTGAAGGGGTCAAAAACCCCCTCAAAACTGACAAAAAACCTCACGGTGAGTCTCACTTGTTAAAATGTACTAAAAACCCACTGGGGGAGAGTGAGAGATGGCCAATGGTTATTTACTTTAGTTTCGCATTTCTACCTAAGGGACTGAAGAAAGGCAAGTGTGCCTCGTAGAACTGACAACAGAACATGGTCTGTGGTAATCTTACACCAGGTTAAGTGATCATTGCCTTGAGTAAAATTATTTTTTGAAAAATGACAATTGTGTCTCAATTAAGTACACTAAGGACAAAGTAAAACCATGTACCAAAACTGGAAAAACTGCAGGCCAAGTAACTACGTTCTCACCATCTTATTTCCTCCTCTGATGAAAATGGTGACAGCTCTGGAGTTCTTACACTGCTCAATGACCAACATTCTGTCTTTAGTGGTCCCAAACGATATCTCCTTGACGAGCCCAGCAAAGCCTAGCTTCTCGGCTGTGAGCTCGGAGAATCGCGGCACGATCCGCCCTCCTGTGGCAATGGCGATCAGCTGATGGGCATGGGTCAGGGAGAAGGGAGACAAAGCCCAGCACAGTTAACTTTCAAACTTTACCACCGATCAGCTGAGCTTGATCTAATGCCTACCCTGTTCACTAGCAATGCTATCCCACTCTGGCTGGGAAGTTCCAAGTCCAACCTCAACAGCCTGTTACAGGAACAGGCTCCGAGGAGCTAGGAGTACGGGCCTGGCTCCGGGGCTGCCGCCTCTCTCTCCTTGCGGCCCCACAGCTCTGGGCCTCATCTCCCGATGGCCTCGGAAGCGAGCTCTGGGCAGCCATCCCCTCTGCGTGTTGGCAGCTGGGAGGACCATGAGGCCAAGTACACGCAGGGCCCGGTCTCGTGTGGGATGGCTCTAAGTACTGGGCTGCCACTGAGTGGTAAGACCAGGTCGTCCTGCCTCAGAGCCAATGAGAGGGCCAAGCGGGGGACACATGGACAGCATTTCCAAATGCCACACCACAGCAGCGGCACATGGCACTGTTACTGAAACAGTCAGACTAGCACTTCTCTCCCAGCTCACCCCACCCTGCCCCATGTATGGAGCACTGGCACGAGGTGGTAATTCAAGGCAAGCACGTCAAAACAGCACCAAATACGTACACACACTGTAAGCTCGGCCCTCTGTTCAAACAGTTCCTCCAACAGAGCTTCCTACCTCGATTTCAGGTCCTCCTACCCAGCGAACCGCAGGCAGGTTATTCTGAAGAAGTAAATGATTTGCTTCATCATCAAAGCCCCACTGGCAAATAGCTAGGTTAGCGCCGGTTTCCTTAATCTGAGGGAAAAAACCCCACAGCAACCACGTTAATAGAGAGGTAGTCTTTGCGCTGCTTGAAGAAATGTGAGCTGCGTGGTTGGGTGTGTCAGGTGGGTGCCCGGCAGTAAAACACTGAGAACGAGGAGGAGGGGCATGTCCAAGGGTCTGCACTGTCACCCCCAGTTCCCAATAAGCACATACCAATGCCAATCACTTCATCTTTAAAACTATGCTTTAAAAGTAATTCATGCTGAACTCCACTTTTACAGTGACGTAGAACAAGAATGTGTCAACAAGGCTAAGCACTTCTCCCCAGACCCACAGGTCTGTCCTGTCACACATACCTATGCGGCAGCTTCACTGGTGTTAATGGAAATGGAATCCTTTGATATACATTTCTCTTCAATTTGCTTTTCCCTAGAGAGGACTACCGTCTTTCGGTGAACATACTAGTTTAGAGGCCAACAAAGGTGACCATGCTTCCAGTGAGGGGCACCTCCCACCCCCCTGCAAATGGCCAAATGATCTGTCCCAAGGAGGCAGCAGTCATCAGACTGTCCCTCTCTCCCCAGGCCAACACCTGTGATGACAATCATGCCCCACAACTATTGTTGCCCTCTTTCTTCACCAATGCCTCCTGAATCATCCATAACTGGCTCTTCCATCCCTGACCCTCTGGAACCTTCCAGCAGGCCCTCTGGAGTTCAGCCTGCTAACTGCCAGCTCTTTCTTGCAGTGTTTCTGTCACATTCTTGGTGTGAACAAATGTTGGCTGTCTTCTGATACCCAACCTGCCCTCACATTTCTCCTCAAACGGCTCTCGTATTCTCTCACGTGCTCAGACAGGATAGGGGTCTTTCCTGCTTCTCACAGCTACCTACAATGTTGTTCTTCCAGTCATTTCCTATCATTCTTTAGAATGTCAGCATCTGGCCCATCACTATTCCTGTTACCATCCCTGGCAACCTGCACAACGACCAAGGCCTGCCCACTCCCTTGGCTTTAGTTCCCAAAGCCCCTCTGCCCAGGACACCTCAGCCGCCCCCCAACCCCTGCCCCCTGGCAGCCCTAGAGCCCAGAAAACGGGCTCTTATTTACAAACTCCTGCCAGCACGCCCCATCCCCTCAAACTTGCTGTTCCCACTCACCAACCACCTTCTTGCCTCAGGGCCTTTGCACAAGCTGCCCCAGCCACATCACCTCAGCCTGGAATGCTCCTCGCCCAGACACGCTGCTCCCTCACTTTACTTAGGTCTCTGCCCACAAATGAGCACCCAAGAGAGGCCTCCTCTGGTGTCTCTAACAGATCCCCCCCACTTCTCCTGTATTCAGTGCCACAAGAACAGGAACTCTGCTTGGTTCACAGATACATCCCAGTGTCTACAATAGTGCCTGGTGTCTGGTAGACAAGGAGAAATGTACCACATAGGAACAAAGGAATTCAACTATTCCCCTAAAAAACAGACATTAAAATAGCTTCTAGTGTTTTATGATAAACAATGTTCTAATGCTCTAATCGATGAACATGTTTGTGTATCCTTGAATACCGGTGCTTTAAATTCCTAAGGATAGCGTCCCCAAAAAGGCACTGCAAGTACGTGCATGTGAAATACTAGTAGACGCAGAGGGGTCACTGACTTCTACAAGCAAAGAACTGAATCACTAGTTACCCAGTAACTCTTTCATCTAAGACTTACATCTAGAGGTCTTAAATATGTCGTAAGCTACAGTAAAATCGCCTGCACCTTGAACGTACTAGCTTAAATGTGTCCAGGAAAAACACAAAAGTAAAATCAAAAGGACAGCTCAAGGTAACTGAGTCAACGCTTTTCAGGCACCTCAGGCAGTAGTACCGTTTTAAGACTAAATCAGACTTATTTCCCCTTTCAGTCTATCTGTACCATTTGTTTTGTGAATGATTATTAATTTTATAATTTAGAAGTGAAGAAAGAAGGCATGTACCGATTACATGTTATCTGTAGCTGTGTAATAAAGTATCAAAATGATGCAGGTTAGCACCATACATATTTATTACCTACAGCTAACCAACTGTATGGTTTAGGAGTTTAAATTTCACTTAGAGCTATAGCTAAGACTTACCTGCTGAATCATCTCTTCAAACTTCTCCTTTTCATATTTCTGAAGGGCTTTGTAATCTTCTACAGAGGTCACATCCAGCTTGTGCTTTGTCTTTGGTTTTGGGGGTTCGAAGGGACAGGTGAGAATCGCAATCTTAGCATTTTCTACTTGCTACGGGGAGAAAGGGAACTGTGAGATGGCAGGTGTGGAGTTCAGGAAGAGCCCAAGCTGGGAAGGCCCTGACTTACTTGGGGCATCTGTGGATGACTGAAGTCCTTGTCCACAATCACGCCCTTGATCAGTTTAGTGTCCTCCAACCTCCCGCCCACTTTGCCTTCTACTTTGATGAGCTCAAAGTCAACGTCTCTGCGTTCCATATCTGCCACAGTGAGGATGGCGTTCACTGCAATCTCGGCCATCTGGCGGTGACAGCTGTTAACCCTGATGAAAGCAAACAAAACCAGGCTTTCACATTTGTTTACCAGTTACTGCAACCAAAGCAGAACACGATGGAATGTGGTACTCAAATACAACATACTTCAACTCAAAGACAGTTTATAAAACTAATGCTGTCAGAGTCTGTAGAAGGGAATACACCCCAGGCTGCATGTTCAGTAGCTTAGGGCAGGGATTCTTTACCTGGGATCCATGGGCACCAAAAGGAACCACCAACTGTGATGGGAAGAGAATCACACCTTATGTCCACTAACCCTTACTGTAACTTACCGTTGTAACTTACTGTTCTCCTTCCATTATGAATGTATCCAAGAGACTGCTGAAGTATGTATGGAAAGAACTAAAATTTTTAAGACTCTTCTATTTTTTCAGAACACTATTAGTATTTCAAATGTCCAAAACAGAACGAAAAAGATAAAAAAATTACCCAAGAAAAGCCAATCTTTATCTAAATGAGGTGTAGCACTGAACAGTTAAAGGATCTAATGTGACCTTCCACCTCTGTGGAAATTCCCCACCATGGCATCAGGTACAGATGGGAGATGTACTGTTCTGGAAGCTCTGAAACACTGGGCTAAACTGCTCAATAAACTTACTTTTGATTTGGAAAAACCACTGTACTTCAGTTCAGTCCTTGAAATACAGTGACTAAAATCTTAAATTATCTAGAAAAGATAACCTTGGAATTACAATGCTAGTATACTAAGTAGGTGATGTACAGCATCTTGCCTTATGTTGAAAATATTTGGCCTCTATCAGTTGATTTGGCTATTTTCTATAGTAAAGACCTATACATACTTGGGTTTTATAAATACCTGCAAGTACAGCAGAGTCAACTTCTAAAGCAGTAACAAAACTTGCACATTTCAACTAAGGGTACTACTTTCCTTCCATGAGGAAAAATCATGCCCTTTGTGACCAGAGGCCACCCGAGTGGGCACGTTTGCTCAGTAGTCTCAGCTAAGACCTGTGAGGAGGAGGATAGGTGGCACCAACGAAGGCACCTGGGGAAGGTATGTGCAGACATCAGGCGCATTTTTATCGCACTTCCCTGGACCTCTCTGCAGTGAGACCATGTTAAACCACCACATTCACAAATCAAAAAACTTCTCAGACTGATGTTGATTCAAACCGTAATGGAGCACTTCATGCTGGATTTTCATGCTACACCATGGTTAAGAGTCCATAAGTCCCTATTTTTGTTTAAAGTAAGCGGGTCTCTTGGCTGAGGCTGCTTTGAGTCTCCAGGGCGCAGGGACTGTCTTTTGTGGGCTTCTTTCCAAGCCCCCAGATGAGGCAGCAGGCCCGCCAAATAGTAGGCATTATGTAAATGTCAGAAACACCCAATGCTAAGTCAATTTTAAGACTGCCCCTTCTTACTGGACCAGGGACAGTTAAGTCCTGGACCAGGAACTCATTTGCTGAATGAAGTGTCCTCCTCTGAAGGGGCTTCCAGCAAGGAAATGACAAAAGTGTTTTGCAAATTAACATATTCCCAAGGACACTTTCCTGCTTGATTTTTAACACAGACTATTCTGCTAAATTAAAGGATTATGTATTTTACAAATACTGAGAAGATTTAATACCCAGGTCTGGACATTTAGCCTTCAATTACACCACCAGCTGCATGTGTCTGCACCTGCACTAAACACAAAGCAAACTAAAGTAACAAAAACAGAAAGCAGCTCATCAAACCCTAAGAAGCCACTAGTCTGTATTGCCTTTCGGAATTAGCGCACAAACTTTTCCTCCTCTACAAATGCTAACAGGAACACTGTGCTGTAAACGTACACTTTGGAGCCCAGTGTAGTTTTCGCTGTCTGAATCAGGGGCTCAGTGTCCTTTATGTCAACAAGGACACTATCGCTGATCTTGTCCAGGTGCTCGATGGCAATGCGGGAGGCCTGCTCATAGCCGTCAGCGATCCTGATCGGGTGAATGCCGCGGTCCAGCAACTGCTCAGCTTCCTCCAACAGGGCGCCAGCCAGGACTGCAGACAAGACAGTGCACAACCAGTTCAGGAAAGCACTAAAGCTTGACTATCAGTACAAGTGGGATGCTACCCTGGAAATATGGAGGTTCTAAAATTAAGCTGCTAAGCTGGGCATCTTTTAAGAGACTAAAGGGAGCCTTTGTTTTGGTTTCTGGCAAAGGCCTAATAGGACTCCCCTTACAAATGGATATTCAATTCTCAGTGCTGTACAGAATGTAACTAAAGAATGTAACATAAACACATTTTTTAAGGGGAGAAAACCTCTTACATTTCCTAGGCCAGAGATTTCTGTTCTGTGAAATTTACGTTGGTGGTTAGGAGAATTTAAACATATATGATTTATCAATAACCTTCCCCGACCCCTTCATTTTGGCACCACGAGGATGAGAGTTTTGTCTTAATCCTGCCACACTCCAAGAACATTCACAACAGTGGTTGGTACCTAGTTCAGTGTTTGCTGGATGAATTAACATTTCATCTACAGAAAAGGAATCACTAAAGGTCTTTCTTCAGTGTTCCTCAACTTGAAGTATTTTAGACCTTCATAAAAAAATGCAATAGTAAAATGAACCATAGATCACTTATTAGTAACACGCTGCCACGTTTGTGTTCTCTACACATGCACACACCTTTTCTGTTCACCTATTTAAGAATTAGTTGCAGAAATCATGACGTCACCCCGAAATACAGCTGCTAAGTACAAGGGCATTCTTTTCCACTGTGGCAATGTAACAGGCTCACTTTGGAAACTTAACATTAATAGAATACATAACCCACAAACACTGTCCCAAACATTTTTTATAGTAAAAAAAAAAAACACAAAAAAACCCCAGCACCTAGTCGGGCTCTACACATCAGCCAAGTGTCATCTCTTGTCAGCATCTTTAATCTAAATCACCCCTCCCACCCACTTCCTGTTCTTTTAAGACAGTAACAGTTTTTGAAGAGTTTGGGCTACTTGTTTTGTACTGTGTCCTTCACCTTGGATTTGCCAGGCTCATAGTTTGATTCAGAGTGAGGTTTTCTGCAAGTGCATTAGCCCTATGAGTTAAAAGAACATTTCTTACATATAAAAAGGATATTTTGCCTTTTCTTACCAACCACTCCTGTGGTTCCATCTCCGATTTCATCATCCTGTGATTTGGACAATTCAACCATCAGCTTGGCAATCTGATGATCAACGTCCATCATACTTAAGATGGTGGCGCCATCATTGGTCACGGTCACGTCCCCGTCCTTATCCACCATCATTTTATCAAGCCCTAAGGAGATGGCAATGTCAGAATGGCACTGAGCAAAGGAAGAAAAACTGGCAGCTTGTACCAAGCACTATAAAAGCTGGACCTCTTGACTCAGTTCCCAGAATTTATTGTAAACAAAACTTCAACATACATAAAAGAGTGTATGCCTGAAGACATTTTTAGATTGCCTAATACAAAGCAAAACACTGGGAACAATCTCAAGAGCTAAAATGAGAGAAATGGCAAAAAGAAGTCATGGGGCATGACTAAATGCAACATCAATCACAAAAAATGACAACTAGGATTTGAAAAAACGCTAACAAAATGATGTTAAGTTGGAAAAAGAAATCTGACCCAAAATTGTTAACACATTATGATTATAAATGGGTTTACAGCCTGGAATACAACAACAATGTTTAGCAGTATTAGGGGACTAGGATGTTCTGGTTTTGTTCCTTAACTTTCTATAAAGAAGTTGTATTGAGTATTTCTTTATTTAAAACATTTGTTAAAACATGCACAATGTTAGCCTCTTACCATTTGGTCCAAGTGATGTTCTCATTGTATTGGCTACAGCCTTGGCCGCCATTATATGAGACTAAATGAAACAATGAAACAAACAGGAAAAGCAAGTATTCAAGTTGTACATGATTTTAATAGTTAAAAGCACACAGATGACAATCACAAAAATCATTTAAGACAGTTTCTATTCTCTAGAAGCTATTACGGATCTAAATCTATGTGTGATAACATTTACAAATATTGGCTTTAGCAGGCAGTTCTCCCTTCAGCCCACAACATGTCTATGATGCAGGCTTTCCTACCCAACCATTTTGCGGCTGAGTAGGTGTGACTTGACAGGCCTTGTAAGACTGTTCTGCAACACTAGCTTCATGTGAAGAGTCCAGCTGTGACCAGCACTTTGAGGTGCCCCTGTGGTTTACTGCAGAAACAGACTCTATTAACTGCTCCAGCCAATCATAAGCTTCAGCTTTTCCTTCAATGCCGTCCATAATTTGAGACCTCATAACCTCCCAGTGAGGATGGTCTATGCTTGCCATGTCTTCTGATCCCTGAAGCAGGGATGAACACAAGGTCCTCCACCCAGCAAAACCCCGAGTAACTTCCAAAGCAGTTCAAACACAATTCCTTGAAACCTTGCCCAGTCAACACAAAAGACTCAAAGTTCACTAGGTCCTGTGAAAATACTGGCAATCTTTAAAATACTTTTTGATGTCTGTGTAATGGGATTTTTAAAGGATAAGAATTACAGGAAGGTAGTTCTTAATTGGGTATAATTTTGTTTCCTGGGAGATATCTGGCAATGCCTGGGGATGTTTCTGATCTTCTCAACTGGGGAGGGGGCTGTTTACTGCCCTGGACTGGACAGAGGCTGGGGACGCTGCTTAGCATCCCTACACAGGACAGTCCCCCACAACACAAATGATCTGGCCCCAGTTGCTAACAGTGCCAAGGCTGAGAACTTGGGCTCTAGACTACTGGTTCTGGAGTCAGAGATGGGCTTGAACCATGACTCTGTTCTTTTACTAGCTAGGTGACCTTAGGCAATTACTTATCTGTTCTGGGGCCAAGCTTCCAATTCTGTAAAGTAATATCTTTCTCAGTGTGAGGATTACATGAAATAAGCATGTAAAATGGCTAACACAATGGCAGATGCAAAGTAACCTGTAGCCTGTCCATTACTGTTCTACTGGTTGTGGATATTGGATGTTACTCACTGTTGGTCCCTTTGGGTAAAAAATGAAACTGAGTATGTAACACAAATAGCTTGAGTACCTACCAGATTAGTAACTCAAGGAACCCCATTTAATTCTCCTCAGCTTGACAGACCACCATTAACCCCAGGGAGAAAGGAGGCTCAGGAAGGTCGTGCAGCATGTCCTACGTCAACAAGTAGTCCCTAGGAGAATGTACCGTTTCTTAATTTGTTCAGGTGAAACCTGAACACACTAAGTTAACAGGGGCACCCTAGACCTGGTGACAAGGGCTATACGGGTAACAGTCCTGGATCCTTTCACTTTATAACAAACCCTAAGTCAGTCAGTGTCCCCTCAAAGCTTCCCTCCACTGCACTTTGTCAGCACCATGTCCATTCCAAACGCTACTTCCTACTGAGCTTAAACTGTGATTCTGCTTAAAACCCCCTTTCAGCTTCCCTCTTTCCCAGGGAGAACATCTTGATTGTGGGGCATTCAAGAGCTTCCCGGAAGTTTTAAGAACTACTGTAATATAAAAGACTGCTCATCAAAACCAGGTTGCTCTTTTGCCCTACAACGTGCCACGAGTTTTTTGGTCCAGGTCTTCACCTTTTGCTGTTCCCTCTCCCAAGAATACCAGCGCTCTCCCATTCAAAGCATTTACTCCATCTCTGTTCAAAAGCCAGTCTCAATCACATGTCTTAAGAACACCCTCCAACTTTTGTCAGTATCCCCTTTTATACTGGTCACACACCGCCTTGTATGATGGCTACTTGTGTCCATTTCCCACTCTTGCGGTAGTATTTTCTTCCTTAAGGGTGTACATTTTTGTCTTTGGACGTCGCATCCAGTAATATCCATGTATAAAGGTACTAAAAGCTGAAGTACTTTATAACCGTCTGAACCTTTAAGAAGTGACAAAAAAGTGAGCCTCATTCTTTCGGGGCTGTTACAGGTACACTAACCGAAGGTTAAACAGCAGAATATTTCGTATTTTACTGATGTAACGACTGCCCGCCGGAGACAACGAGCGGAGATGCGCGGGTCCACCGCCTTTGAAGCCGCCCCACCCAACTCTGCAGGGCGCTTGCAGTTCGGTCCTAGACCCCAATCCGGGACTACAAGCTTATGCGTCGGCCCTCCGAGCCCAAAGAGCGGGGAGCCGGACTGAACACGAGAACGGGCCCCCAGTCCTTTCCCGGGAGCACATGGCAGAAACGCTCCCAGCTTGCGCAGGCGCAGAGCCATCGGGTTTGGCCGCCTCCCCTCATCCCACCGCGTGTCCCGGTCCCGTTACCTTAAGGGCCTCCAGTCCCATAAGACGAGACTTGCGGTCCTGATCCTTGATGATGAGGAAAGGGCGTCCATACTCATCAAAGGCAAGGGTCCCAACCGACGACATGGTGCTGCAGCAGCGGTTATCCTGCCACAATCGGCGGAGACCACCCCGGAACCGAGAACGTACCTTCCTCCAGTGGGAGGGCACAAGAGCGCGCGCAAGCGCAGTACTGCCGCATGAGATACATTTTTCACCCGAGACTAATTTAATGCCAGACAGTACCTTCTGGAATCAGCGGCCTTCGGAAACTTCTATCATGCAGGAAGCTGTGGGGAAGTTCAAACGCGAGCACGGGAACTTTTAGAACCCACAGTCTAAGATAGATGTAATACAGTCATTTCTTAAAGATAGGCAATTGTGAGTTTCTGGGTAGTGGGTCCCAACCAAGAACTCATTTACTCAGAGCATTATTTTCACCTCCTATCTACCCCTACTCCGAGAAGATGGTATAATCCACTTCCGGATTTTTTTTTTTGTGTGTGTGTGTGTGTGTG